AAAGCTACGATCACTCCGATTAGTTCATGCCAACCTACGTAGTCTCGCTCACTACCGTTGTAGAGTGATTCTCCGCAAGCTGCACTGCCTCGACTTCTTGACTGCCTTCTTACGGGGCACCCTTCACGAGGCCAATTGGTTGCTTCATCCACGTGGCTTTACTCGGTCGTTTCCTGCGGGCACCCAGTGGAGCCTACGGCGGCCAGTCTATAGCCTACGTCAGGCGCCCTGAGAGTGGCACGACACACTAAGCACGACACTTGCGGCTCTTGGCTTCGCTCCCTCGATTGCTGACTCATCGCTGTTTCTGCGCACAAACACTTCCCTGTCGCCGTTCTACGTCCTCGTGTATGTCGACGACTTGATCTTTGCTACTGCTGACACTTAGGCACTGGCCTCGTGAAGTCGGAGCTGCAGAAGAGACACACTTGCACTGACCTGGGTGAGCTGTGCATCTATCTTGGCTTGCAGATCACTAGGGACAGAGCAAGGCGCACCATCACGTTGACTCAGTCTCACATGGTGCATCAGGTCCTTCAGCGCTTCGGCTTCACCTTCTCCTCGCCACAGCCTACTCCTCTGCCTACAGGCCACTCGCTCTAAGCTCCACCTTTGGACGAGTCCATAGAGGCAAGTGGTCCATATCCAGAGCTTGTGGTTTGCCTCATGTACCTGATGACCTGCACTCGTCCTGACCTTGCGTACCCTCTTGGCCTTCTGGCTCACTACGTGGCTCCCGGTAGACACCGAAAGGTGCACTGGGATGCTGCGAAGAGGGGTACTGTGGTACTTGTGCAATACATCGGCCATGGGCTTGGTGCTTGGAGGACGGGACTCACAGGACACTCAAAATTGCTCACAGTACCACTGAGCTCCGCCCTCCAAGCACAAGGCCCATGTCCGATGTAATGCACAAGTAACACAGCACCCTCCTAGCAGCTTCCCAGTGCTCCTTCCGGTGTTGACCGGGAGCAACGTAGCGAGCCAGGAGGCTGAGAGGGTAAGTGAGGTCAAGTCTTGTGCACGTCATCAGGTACATGAGGCAACTTACAAGCTCTGGATACAGACCATTCGGCTCTACGGACTCATCCAAAGGTGGAGTTGAGAGCAAGTGGCCTGTAGGCAGAGGAGTGGGCTGTGGTGAGGAGAACCGGAAACCGAAGCACTGAAGGACCGTTTGCACCATGTGTGACTGAGTTAGAGTGATGGTGCGCCTCGCTCTGTCCCGGGTGATCTGCAAACCAAGATAGCTTTGTAGCTCACCCAGGTCTGTGCAATTGTGTCTTTGTCTTCTGCGATGGGTCAGCAGTCGAGGGAGCAAAGCCATGAGCCGCAAGTGTCGTCCTCAGTGTGTCGTGCCACTCTCGGCGCCCCTGACGCAGTCTGTAGACTGGTCGCCGAAGGCTCCTCTGGGTGCCCTCAAGAAACGACCCTGAGAAGCCAGGTGGACGGCGCACCCAGATGGCCTCGTGGAGGCTGCCCTGTAAGAAGGCAGTCGAGAAGTCAAGGGAGTGCAACTCGTAGTCATGATGTGCTACAACGAGCGACAACACCTGAAGAGTGGTCATCTTCGGGGTAGGAGAGAAGGTCAGAAAGAAGTCGACCCCGTGACGCTGACTGAAGCCTCGAGCAACGTAGCATGCCTTGAAGGCAAGTGGAGAACCCGGTGGCCGCTTCACCCTGAAGATCCACATGCCATTGACAATGTTCGCCAGAGGAGGAGGAACCTCGTCAGCGTAGGTGCCTGTGGACTTCAATGAAGTGGAGTACTCACCCGAGATCGCCTCTTCGTAAGTGCATGGAGTAGGGATGTCTAGAGCATCTGGGTCTCCCTCAGTGCAAAGCATCATGGCAGCGAGATGAGGTGCAGCAGCTGCTAGGTGCTCAAGCTCAAACTGCCTATCCTCAAGAATGTCACAGCCAAGGGAAATCTTACCCCTGACGGACGGAGGACGGCCAGGGTCACAAACAAGACGCGCAGCGTAGTCAAGACGGCACATAGCAACAAAGTTAACTTGCTCAGCTACTAGGGCAGTCACAGCAGGGGACGAAAATGAAGGGTCAGTCACATCTATGGCAAAAAAATGAGTGATGGTCGGCCTGGCAGCACGAACAAGGTCAGACTCAGGATCAAGAACGTCAAGAAGAGAAGATTCAGGAGGTGACGGTAGGACAACACGATGTGGAACAGGGGTAGGACGGAGTGCCATAATGAGTGCCTGGGACAGCCGGAGCACGAGAACGGGCAACACGACGACCACAAACAGGTGTGGAAGCACGAGATATAGGCTCATGACGCTCAGTCAGGGAGTCAGTCATCTCAGTGTAAGGAACAGGAGCAGGGAGCGGGGAGGCAGGTAATAGTTGTGGCAGAGACGGGTCAGCAGGTGGAAACAACAGAGAGTAGTACTAGCGATAGGGAACTCAGTAGCAGGTGGCGGGAGACTGAGAAGGTGGCGAAGCATAGACGGCTGAGCAGTCGCACCCCCAGAACCACCAAGACCTCCAGGTCCAACAGCACCTCCAGCACCAGCAGCAACTCCAGCACCTCCAGCACCAGCAGCTCCAGCACCTCCAGCTCCAGCAGCACCTCTAGTACCTGCAGCATTTCCAGCACTATCAGCACCTCCAGTACCAGCAGCTCCAGCACCTCCAGCACCAGTAGCACCTCCAGTACCTCCAGCACCTCTAGCACCTCCAGTACCAGTAGCACCTTTAGCACTACCTCCAGCTCTAGCAACTCTAGGACCTCCAAAACTCCAAGCTCCACCCCAAAGCGGCCTCGCCAAACTACCCACTCGTGAAACTGCTGCGGCAAGGGCGCCTTGTCATGTCCTCCAGCAGGAGCACCCGCAGCTCCACCACCACCAGGTTTCGTGGCGCCCCCAGAGTCAGCACCCCCAGTGTCAGCACCCCTAGAGTCAGCACCCCCAGTGTCAGCACCCCTAGAGTCAGCACCCCCGGTCTCTGCACCACCTGTCGGAGCACCCCCGGGACCAGCAGCTCTAGAGTCCGCACCCACAGCGTCACCACCCCCAACAACACCAAAGTCCACAGCGACAGGCTGCGGAGGCGGTGAAGACAGCCGAGGCAGAAAACCCGGGGGGGCCTCCAAGCGTGGAGAGCAGTGAGAGGCCGCCGTCTCGTCAGCGGTGGGACACCCTCCTCAGCTGGGCCAGAGGAGTCAAAAGAGATCTACAAATGCTCAACCAAGGGGGGTGGGTCCTCGTGAGACACACGGGAAGGAGCAGGATCCTGTGGGGGGAAGAGGTCTACCAGGGGGGTTACTGGAACCAAGAAGAGGGGCGGCGGGGGGACCGGGTGGGACCCGTGCGGGTGAAGACGGTAGAAGTAGACCGACTCGTCAAATGCGACGTTCTGGGAGGACAGAACTCAACGCAAGGCAGGGTGGTAAAATTGCCAAGGCGGGGCGTCGTTGGGGAAGCCAAGGAAGACTCGACAGAGAGTGCGAGGGGAGAGCTTGCTTGCAGTGGTATCGTGAACAAGCGAGAGTGCACCCCAGTCCCGAGACGTCGACGCATCGCCAACATCCCCCGTCCAACGTAGAGTGGGCGAGGTCTCTGGCATAGAGACTCGGGGCCAGAGTTTGAGATGATGCGCAGCGTATCAGACCACAAACGGCCAAAAAAAATGGGGAGCAGCCACATGGATCATGGAGGTACGAGCAACCTCCATGATCAAGCCAATGTGATGCTCAGCAATCCCATTTTGCTGCAGAGAGGCCGGAAGCGTGAACGATTGGACGATGCCCTCGTCTCGACAGAAGTCTGCAAGGAGTTCAGAAGAGAACTCAGCGCCTCTATCAGAGTGCAGAAGTAGGACTGGAAGGTCCCGCCGAAACCGCTTGCGCAGCTGGCGACGAGTAGCGCGGATCCAAGGGATCAAAACATCATGAACACCCGCCTTGCTCCACAAGGGGAAGACTGTGGTGTAGCGCGTATAGTCATCAACAACCAGCAGAAAGTAGCGCAATTGCTCTGTCCACATGGAGAGTCTGCAGAGGAGCAGTGGTTGGAGGAAACGAGGAGTGAGGAGTGGCGTGCTGCCGTTCCTCGACGCAGGGAAGGCACGGCGGAGCAAGCAATTGCAGGAGGGGGGGCAGGGATTCGGAAAGGACAAGGAGACGGGCGTGCATGCTGCGGAGACGCGGCAAAGAGGGGTGACCGACGCAACTACCTGTGCAGACTCAGTGGTCAGTGTGTACAGGTTAGACCCAAGTTTCTGTGTGAATGTGGCGAGGTGGCGGCTAGTTAGTGAGCACGTACAGATCGCCACGCGCTCACCCCGAGTTTAGGCATCAACCAACACATCCTGGAAGGCAGCATTGCTCACCAAGTTTGTAGAGAACAAGGGGATGTGGAGACCTGAAAGAGAGTCAGATGGGACTATCGGACACAGGAGGTCAGTGGAGGCCTGTGCGACGATGGGGTCCCCAGAGGGATCAGCTAGTGAGACCGGGACAGGAGAAGCAAGCGGTGTGACTGTGGTGCAATCACGAAAAAGCAACGTGACATGCCTGGGTCAAGCGTGAAAGCGTGCAAGGCCTCAGCCGAGGCAATAGACTCACTGGCAATAGACTCACTAGTACTTGTGGCAGCAGATGCACTAGCACCTAGAGTGGCAGCAGACTCACTAGCACCTAGAGCGGCAGCCTCGAGACTAGCAGCGCAAGGCACACACGAGTAACAGGCACCCTCAGCACTAGTAGCATCAACATACATAGCATAAAGTCTCTTCTTGATCTAAACAAAGTCAAGAGCAAACACATGTATTCCACTCGCTAGCAGTCCCAGCCAGTCCGGTATCTCCTGCTCATCCCCATACTCGGTGCGCTTGGCATCCTTGAGATGGTAGAAGCGGCGATACTCAGTGTGCCCAGTCTTCCCACATGCCTCACCCTTCTTGAGACCCCTCTCCCGGATGTACGGACAACGAACAAGACCCCCAGGGGAACCACACTGGACAACCCACTCACGAAGCTACTGAGGTGGCAGTGTGTCTGGGAGGCGTGGCAGCTGCTGATGTCCACCGCCAGAGCCTCTGCCGCCGAGAGCTGAACTCCCGTAGCCTCCACACATGCCAGCTCCACCTCGACCGCCACCCGAGCCCCCTCCACCCACCCCACCTCCTCCGCCACCCCTGCCACCTCCACCGCCACCACCACCGCCTCCACCCCCGCCTCCAACACCACCACCACCCCTGCTACCATCCCCGCTACCACCCCCACCAGCGCCACTCCCACCACCCTTATCCCCCTTGCCCTTGTCGCTGCGGTGCTTCCCAGTAGGAGCAGACGAAGCGCCGACCTTCTCAGCACCAAGGAAGTCGACAACAGCAGCAGAGGCAACTAAGGGTATGAGAGGGGAAGGAGCACACCCTTCAAAGAAGGGGGAGCGGGGAGTGCTACAAGAGACAACGATAGCGGCAGTAGTGGTCTCACCCTCGAGAAGGTACTTCTCCAGCGAGGCAAGCGTGAGCTCAATGGGGTCAAGAGCGAGGAAGTGGTCCCAAACGGTGCGAAGGAGTCAAGGAGGCGAGTGACGAGGAAGTACAGGGTGCTACAAAGCGGGGGGGGGGGGCGAGGGGGGGGGGGAATCGCAGTGAGGAAGGCCGGCTTGAGATCGGCGCGGTAGCAAGTCTCACTAGCGTGAAGGTGGGTGAGGAGATTAACAATAGTGTGGAAGCCTGAGAGCTCAGGAAAGAGATATGGCAGCATGAGACGGCCAAGGGCAGCAGTAGAGGGGGAGGAGTAGCGAGAGACTACAGCGTTCCTCAGCCGTCTTAAGCTGGCCAAAGTGAACGCGCACATCTAGCGGCAGCACACTATGGACAGCAAAGCGAGCCGCAGCATTGCGTGTGGGCCACTGAGAACGAAGGGCTCGGTTTGCCGATTCAAGAGGGGCAGGGAGGGAATCGGACATGCGCTCTAACAGAGAGACATCGTCGCTAGCCTTACTTTGCAGGTGCAGCTCGAGGTCCTCAAGCCAGACGTCAAACCTAATCGGGCGACCATCTGTGTCAAAGGTGAGGACATTAATCGTAGCCATAGTGGGCAGTAGCAGTAGGTACAACGGCAGCAGCAACAACAGCAGCAGCAGTAGAAGAAGCAACAGCAGCAGCTGCTGCTGCAGCAAAAGCAGGAGCAGCAGCAGTAGCAGCAGAAGCAGCAGCAGAAGCAGCAGCAGAAGCAGCAGCAGCAGCAGCAGCAGAAGCAGCAGCAGCAGGGCTCGGGCTGGGCAGCGCGGCTCAGTAGGGCGGGGCACAGGAGAGCTTGTGGCAGCCGCAGCGCAACAGCATGAGCGGCAGCTGCAGTAGCGGGTGCGCGTGCGGGGCCAGCAGCAACAGCGCAGCAGCAGCCGCGTAGGGGGGGGCGGGGGGGGGGGGGGGGGGAGGGGGGGGGGGGGGGGGGGGCACTCGCGTAAGGGCAGCAGCCCGCGCAGCAGCGGGCAAGGCGTAGGGGCGCGCGGGGCAGCACGCAGTGCACGCTGCAGGCGGGGCGCGTGGGCGTGCGGGGCTCATGCAACAGCGCGAGCAGCGCGTGAGACGGTAGCGCGCGGGACGGCAGCAGCTCGGGCAGCGAAGGGAGCGTGCGGGGCAGCACGCAGCGCGCGCTTCAGGCGAGGCGCGCGGAGGCCGCGAGCGTGCGGGGTGCAGGCAGTAGCGCGAGCTGCGTGCGGGGCGCAGGCAGAAGGTGCGCGGGCAGCAGGGCTCGCGAATGCGTAGGGGCAGCAGGGCAGGGCAGCGCAAGGGCGCTTTGGGCAGGGCAGAGAAGCACGGTAGCGTTTCGGGCAGGGTAGAGCGGAACGATCGGTGGGCCCTCGAAAAAATCAACCGAAAACCTGCTCTGAAACCATGTTAGAAATATCTGTGCAGGAAGGAGATTGACTAACAGGATTGGGAGTACAAGTATGAAACCCTAGAATGTTTTACCCCTTAAGGCTAGCCCCACAACAGCCTACAGAACAGAACATACAATGTTTGACAATAACTGACTGACTGCTGCTACGTTCCTATATAATATAACTGAATATATATCATTGTTATTACCTCTACACAATTACAATCCTTGTGTCCGGCTATCCCTCGGCCGGCGCAGTGGCATCACGTGCCAGGCCAGAAGTGCTACCTCTGAAACACGATTGCCACGATTTCGCACGATTGCCTGACGAGGCTCACTGAAACAGCTTGTGTCAAAGATTTCGAGCGACCAAATTCATCGAACAGCAATGTAATTTTTCCGAGTCTGGAAAACAGTGTTTATAACGAAATCGCTCGCATGGACCAGTCTGACAAGGGGTTAGCCTTATAGGGGTCCATAGGAACACGCTCTCCCCACCGCATGGACGCCGTTATCTTCCTAGAGTATTTTCGCTAATCTAGCGACTTTTGGATTGTATCAGTTCGTGGGCAGGGAATCTACAAGGGGCAGGGCAAATTTGCGGGCAGCGGTTGAGCATCATGTATATTACAAAGCGTGCTTCGCGAAGAAAGGCCCAGCCCGCTTGTGGCCACTGAAACGGCGACGATTGGGGGGCAACAACCAAAAAGGATTTGTGCACTCAAGTGACAAATGCAATTCTTTCGTTTGGCCGTGATTGACCAGTAGACACGAGTTTACCGACATTCGTTCTTGACCAGCCTTGCATTCTCACTCAATAGCATGCTCTTTAGGTACGGTAGTTGGATATCAAAGAATAGCAACCAGAGTGTCTAAGCAAACCACAAACAAAGCATTCGCAATGCAATAGGCTATAGCACACAATGCCAACCACAGTAGGTCAGACTCAAGAGGGCATTCTCTTGTGGCTATTGGGCCAAAACTCAGACCCGTGAGCATGCCCCACAGCCTGCACGCCTGAATCTCATACCTCCACCATGAGCACAACCATCAGCAGCAGCAGAACCGCAGCAGCGAGAGAGACTCCACTCGGCCCTTCAGCCTTGGGGGGAGGAGGAGAGGGGCTAGGGCCAGCGGGAGGAGGAGGGGCAGATGGGGGGGATGGAGGCACGACGCTTGGGGGAGGAGCACCAGTAATGGGCGCTGGCGGCGAGGAGGTAGGCGGAGAAAGGGCAGGGGCGGGAGGGGAGGGCACAGGAACAGGAGCAGGAGGCAAAGGAGTAGGAGTGTAGGGGTAAGGAGCATTGATGTCGTTGCCCAAAGTGTCAGGGAAGGGCCAGGTGGCGTTGGAGTAGGGGAAGTGGGCGCACATGGCCGGGTCTAGGGGGCGCCCCGCCACACCCTTAGCAGCCGTCATGTTGACCGCACCGGGCAGGCAGGTGGCGGGGATGGTGAGCGGGTCGCAGCAGAGCGGGAGGACCGGGATCACTGGGGGACCCGAGTAGCACGCAGTGTCCTGCACGTGGTGGTGGGTGGTGAGCATGTGAAGTTCAAGCAGCAGCAATGAGCAGCAGTGAGCAACGGCAGGGGATAATTTGGCGAGAAAAATGAGCATGCACGCAAGTTGCTGTGATGTGAAAGCGAGCGCCTGGGTTGACTTCCCTGCAGCACTCTGACCACGGCTCGACCCGCAAATGGACTCACGGTGAAGGTGGCGTTGAAGCCGGGGATGTGCTGCGCAACGAGCGGCACGAGCAGCATGTGGAGCATGTCTTCCGGAGATATAAGCACGTCGTCGCACATCTTGAAAAGATCCCTCACTGCACGCGAACGCCACATCAAAACGCAACCCGGCAAGTGAATGGAGATTGGAAGGATATAGAGGAACAGGACTTGAGAATGGGAATGGGAATGGGAATGGAGAATGGGAATGGGAACAGGCCTCTTTTCCTTCCGGGCTCATCGCACCTCCCATTGTATGCCCTACTTCTTCCCCTGCAGGCGGACACTCCCATGCCCCCATTTCCTTGCTCTCACTCTCTGCTTCCTCCTGCTCCTGGGCTTTATCCCACACTGAACCTTCCCATCCTCCTACCCGTAGGTCTCCTTGCCCCCAGTCGCACGCCATCTCTACCTTCATGCTCCTCACACCCGTCTTCGTTCTTCTCACGGCTTCTTTCACCATTTTCTCCCCCAGCAGCTGTGAATGTTCTTCCCTCAGCTTCCTCACATGCCGGTTTGTCATCATACTTCCCTGCACTTGCTTCTCTGCCTTTAGTTCACACGACCGTGCCCCCACCTTCTCGTCCTTCCATTCTGCCTTCGCTGCTGCTGTTACACACGCTCCCGCCCCCACCTGCTCTTCCTTTTCCTCTGCCTTCGCTGCTGCTGTTACACACGCTCCCGCCCCCACCTGCTCTTCCTTTTCCTCTGCCTTCGCTGCTGCTGTTACACACGCTCCCACCCCCTTCTTCTCGTCCTTCTCTTCCCCTTCTGCTGCTGCCCATGCCCCCACCTTCTCGTCCTTCCCTTCCGTGCCTGCCGCTACTGGTTCATCCGCCCCTGCCCCCACCTTCTCGTCCTCCTCTTGCGGTTCTGGTGTTACTTGCACACATACCCATGCCCCCACCCTACTTAATTGCTTCCTTTGTCCGTCCCTGCCCCCATTGCGCCACCCCATGTCTTCATGGCGACGCAGCACCGCACAGGAGTACTCTGGCTCCTGCTCGTCTTCCTCCTCTTCCTCTTCCCTCGCGTGCAGTCCTGCTGCCTTCTCCGTCTTGCCTCCCAAAGCCTGCAGCTGAGCCCGCAATCTTCGTATCTGAGATTCTATTTCCTCTTGTGACCTCCTCGCTCCCCCAATCCTCTGATAGCAGTCCTTCTGCTGATGCCCCCTCTTCCCACACACTTCGCAGGTTGGCGCGCCAGGGCAGTTCTGACCGCGGTGCCCTGGTTTCCCACACACGTCGCAGTTCTTGCAATTCACCCTCACATGTCCTGGCTGTCCACACCTGTAGCAGGTCTTCGTGTCCGTCCTTCTCTCATATTGCTGCTCCTCTCCGCCTCCCGCCCCCGGCATCATTGCTGCCGCCCAGGTGGGTCGCATCTTCTCAGCCACCCTTGGCAGGTATGCCTCATAACGCCTCTGTGCCAGCTCCACCTTTTCTGTTAGCTCAAACACTTCCTCCAGGCTTGCTTCTGCCCCCAGTTCTCTCATTTTCAGTTCTCCGGCCAGCCCATCGTCCAATCCTGCCAGGAACTTACTGATCAGCATACTGCTGTCGGTACACACCACATCCTCGGCCAGGTTCATGAGCCGCCCATAATACGCCAGCAACGACTCGTCCTTCCTGCGTTTGAAGTCCTGAAACTCCTTGATTCGCTCTGCCGTGTGTCCTGGGAATTGCTTGCGCAGCCGTTCCAGGAACAGTGACGTAGGGTCATCCCCATCCTCCTCTGCCCTCCTCAGCCACTCATGCATCTTCATGCGATACAATGTTACTGCTTCCCCACCCAGAGTGTTCGGCAGACTCAAAAAGAAGTCGATGGGGTCCATCCCACTCCAATCACACCTGTACTTGACATTCCCAATCTGCATCAGATAATTCTTCAGATTAGTGCTTGTCCCTCCATTCCCGGTGAAACGCACTGGCACCTCTACTTGTGGTGGCGCCTGCATGCCCCCTCTCCCTGAGTCCCAGGTTCCCATTGCTCCTCGCTCCGCGCGGCTAACTTCTCCTCTGTGCTCCCTCATTCCCCTGCTGCCAGTACTTGTCCCATACAGCACCCTGTCTATCCCTTCTCTAGCAGCTCTGGCTTCGCTGGATCCTTCTCCTGTTTGCCGTGGCCTCCAGGGGCCCCTCGGACTCGGACTCCTCCGTTCCTCCTCGTAAGCCTCCCTTTGCCCGCCTGCTTCCCCCCAACGCCTTTCCCTCTTCTCAGACGAATATTCCTGGAATCGCCCTTCTTGCTTCCTCCTTTCCCGCTGCTGCCGGTCCTCTCTCTCACGAAACTCTCTCCGTTCTTCCTGCCTGCTCCTCAGCCCTTCTCTCCTTCCAGGGACATATCCTTCCCAGCTTTCCTCCCTTTGGCCTGATCCATGGCGTGCCCGCCTGTCGCTCTCTTCCTCTTCTCCGCTCTCTGTTTCATACTCGTGCATCCCATCCCGTCGCATGTGCTGCTTGTCACCTCTTCTCCCTTGTCCGCTCAGGTCCTGCTTCTCCCTCATCCCCGCTCCAGGTTTCCTTCGCCCTCCTCGCCTTCCCTTGCACCCCTCTCTTTCTTCAGGGCATGACTTCTTCTCCCGCCGATCCGGCTTCCCGCGTCGGCGCCGCTCCAGATTATACCCATAGTCCTTTTCTTCACTATACTCATGTTCCTTCTCTTTACGCAGCTCCTAATTACTCCCTCTCGTCTTCTCCCTCCCTTCCTTCCTCTCAAGGGCCTCTCCTTCCCAGCGTCTCCCTCGTCCGCCTGCTCCTCGGCGCCCATGATCCTCTCTTCCTCTTGCTTTGTCACTTCCCGGATCCTCCCCTGGGGACACCTTTCGCCGGCAGTGCTCTTCCTCACCCCTTCTCCTGTTTATCTCTCTCTCATGCCTCCCCCTTGCCTCTCCGACAGGTTCCTGCACCAGCCCTGCTCCCGCGTACGGATACTCTTCTATTTCTTCTCTGCGCGCTCTCGCATCCGCACCCGTGGAGTACTGCGACGAACACTCTCTGCCCTTAACACGCGCTTCCCACTCCTCCGTCCGCTGCCGTGCAGGCGAGCGCTGCGCGCGCCTCCTATCGCGGTCGTCCTCACTTTCCTCTCCCCCCTGCTCTGGTGATCGCCATCCGCCCAACGCCATGCACCTCCTACACTCATGTCCGCGTCTCGGCTTAGGCGAGCCATACACTCCCGCTTGCACGTCTCGCCTCCTCTCTTCCTTACGGCTGGCTTCTGGCGCGCGCTTAGCCTCCTTGCCTTCACCGTGCCTTGCATTACTTTTGCGCAGCCTGCTTGGCGAGCGATCTGCATCTGTGCCCCCGCGGCGCCTCGCATCATTCTCAGGCAATTCGCCCGCCGAACCGCCCGCATCCGCGCTCCCATGGCGCCTCGCGCCATTCCCGCGCATTTCGCCCGTCGAACCTGCTGCAACCGCGCTTCCGCGGCGCCTCGCATCATTCTCAGGCATTTCGCCCGTCGAACCGTCAGCATCCGCGCTTCCACAGCGTCTCGCATCATTCCCGCGCATTTCACCCGTCGACCCAGCTGCACCCGCGCTCTCGCGGCACCTCGAGCCATTCCCGCGCATTTCGCCAGCACAACGATCCGCATCCATGCTCACGCGGTGCCTCTCGCCACTCCCGCACGCTTCGCCAGCAGAACGAACTGCCTCCGCGCTCCCGCGGCGACCTGCGCTACTCCCACGCACTTCGTCTGTTGAGCGGCTTGATCCCGTCGCCTTTCCGCGCTCTTCGCGTTTCTCTCCACGGCGACTCTCGCCTCCCTCACGCATGTCGTCCGGCGAGCGATCTTGTCACCGAATATGCACTTCGTGCATATGCGATAACAGTTGGTGCGCGGGTGTAGATGCAAGTGTAGGTTCATGTGTAGTCTTTGTATGATTACAATTTGTGGGTGAGTTGCTGGGGAGTATGGGGGGTTGAGGCGAAGTTGTTGGGAAGGGTTAGAGGAAACATCGAGGGGTGGGAATCTAACGAGCCAATCTGAAGCAACTGGGCCTGGCTCGAGGCGCACATCGAGAAGTGTGCGACTGAGCCAGGTTCAGGTAAATTCAGTACCAAACACCCTCTCGTTGCTTTTCTCCTGTTATTCTCTCATATTAGTGGAAAGCTGTTACCTCAGATCTAGCATCCGGTGGCACTCCACTATGGGAGGACCTACAGGGTGAGGGAGGAAACTCTTTCATAACAGGAGAAAAGCCGAGAGAACGTTTGGGCAGTATGGACTGCCACGAGCTGCGCTGGCAGCAGATGTACTCACGTCGGGAAACGCCGCCTGTCAGAATGTTATTCTTATGTTCTAGCCTGTAGTGGGGTGCTCTATAGCGAGTACAACCCTTCTAGGGTTTGCTATTTGTATCCCCATTTCTGCTAGTTCAATCCTCTTTCTTTCTTCTAATTTTGACATGGTATCAGAGCAGGTCGATCCCCTTGGATCGATCCTCTGGGTGGGCTCACCACCTCGTTGCTTCCGCTGCAACTGCTACTGCTACTCTCTGTGCCGCACGCCCCGTGGCGTGCGGCATTTTTTCTTCCCGCCCTGCGCCCCGAGGTGCACGGCGGTTTTCTGCCCGCCGTGCGCCCCGAGGCGCGCGGCGGTTTTCTGCCCACCGCGCGCTCGGGGCGTGCGGCGGTTTTCTGCCCACCGTGCGCCTCGAGGCGCGCGACGGTTACCTGCTTTGCGCGGCGGTATTCTGCACGCCATGCGCTCGGGACGCGTGGCGGTTTTCTGCCCACCGCGCACCTTGGGCGCACGCGGCGGTTTCGCGTTCCGTCGACCCGCACGCCCGTCCCCGTCGACCTGCGTGCGGCTCCTCGTCGCCCTTCGCGGCGGCCCCGTCAACCCGCGCGCGGCTTCCGGTCGCCCTTCGTGGCGGCCCCGTCGACCCGCGCGCCGCCCCTGGGGACCCGTGCACCCGTCCCCGTCGACCCGCGCGTCACCCTGCGGCCCCCCTCCCCGCACACCTGAGTTCGATTACCGCACATCCGAGTTCGCTTCCCGTAAGCTTGTGCACGCTTCACGCACACCTGAGCTCGCTTACCGCACACTCAGGGTATGGGGGTGACGGGTATGGGGGTGATGGTTGTGGGGGTGTCGGTTGTGCGTGCCGTCCCCTTCTCCTCCTCCTTCGTCTCCCACTGCTGCAGCTGTCGCTGAGGGGGGTGGTTGTGTGGGAGACTCGGGTTTAGGGTTTAAGGGGGGTGCGTGGGAGTGGAGCTAGGAGCGTATCAGCGGGTGTGTGTTGGGGGAGTTGGATAGTTAGGGAAGCTGCATGGAGGTTGCCGTCGTGTCGTCAGCAGCACCTGTATTCCGGGGGCTTCGCCCGGTAGCCCAGTCGTAGCCAGCTGTGCCAGCCGCCCGTGGGTCCGTTGCTCGTCTGCCGCTACTTTAGCCGCGGGGCCAGTTACTCCAGTATTCCGGGGGCTTCGCCCGGTAGCCGCTGTGCCAGTGTGCCTCCTGTTGCCCGAGTGTCTGCAGCTTCAGCCGTCGCCTCCCAACTCCTCTCGCTCTCACTCCTCCTCCTCACTTGCCCGTTGTGACCACCACTAGCTTTGCTCATAATTGTGCACTTGAACTTACTTCTTGAACTTGTGCTCAGAATGTGTGGTGACATTGTGATCCACCCTGAGCTTGTACTGCTTTGCTTGCTCTGCTGATTACACCCCACTTTGGCTATGGGGGTGTGTCAGAATGTTATTCTTATGTTCTAGCCTGTAGTGGGGTGCTCTATAGCGAGTACAACCCTTCTAGGGTTTGCTATTTGTATCCCCATTTCTGCTAGTTCAATCCTCTTTCTTTCTTCTAATTTTGACACCGCCGTCGCGGAGGACGCGCTCGCAGGAGCGAGGAAGATCGCGGGAGTGGTCGCCAAGGTGGGCGGCGGACCACGCAGATCTGCACGTTGAAGGGCGTCGAGATGGAGGCGAGGACGATCTGCACGCGGGATCGGAGCCCAGGCCTCAACCGTCCAGCGGTGACCCTTGGAATCTGGCACGCGGCCAGCAAGGAGAGGGTGTAAGGCGTCGCGACGATGCGGACGTGGTGGACTCGTCGGATTCGGCAAACGAGGCCGACGACGAGGAAGAAACACACAAGATCCCGATGGTGCGGGATGGTGAAGAGGAAAAAGGCGCGGAAGAAGAGCGCGACGACGGGAGCAAGGACGCGGGAGCAATTGGCTCGCCGGAAGGGATGCGCGGAGGCAGCGCAAGGCGCCGCGGAAGCGCGGATGCAGGTCGCGCGGCGGACGAAATGGGTGACGGCAGCGTAAGGCGCCAGGGGAGTGCGGATTCAGGTCGCGCGGCGGACGAAATAGGTGACGGCAGCGTAAGGCGCCATGGAAGCGCGGATTCAGGTCGCGCGGCGGACGAAATGGGTGACGGCAGCGTAAGGCGCCAGGGAAGCGCGGATTCAGGTCGCGCGGCGGACGAAATGGGTGACGGCAGCGTAAGGCGCCAGGGAAGCGCGGATTCAGGTCGCGCGGCGAACGAAATGGGTGACGGCAGCGTAAGGCGCCAGGGAAGCACGGATTCAGGTCGCGCGGCGGACGAAATGGGTGACGGCAGCGTAAGGCGCCATGGAAGCGCGGATTCAGGTCGCGCGGCGGACGAAATGGGTGACGGCAGCGTAAGGCGCCGCGGGAGCGCGGATTCAGACGATTCGACGGGCGAAATGCGCAGGGATGGCGCGAGGCGCCGCGGTAGCGCGGATGCAGACGGGTCGGTGGGCGAAATGCTTGAGAACGGCGCGGGGCGCCGGGGGAGCACGGATGCAAATCGCTCGCCAGGCAGGATGCGCGGAAGTAACGCAAGGCGCGGCGAAGACAAGGAGGCTGAGCGCGCGCCAGAAGCCAGCCGTGAGGAAATGAGGAGGCGAGACGCGCAGGCGGGTATGTATGGCTCGCCTGAACCAAGACGCGGACACGAGCGCAGGAGGCGCCTGGCGTTGGGTGGAGGGCGATCACCAGAGCTGCGGCGAGAGGAAAGGGGGAACGACCGCGGTAGGGGGCACGCGCAGCGCTCGCCCGCACGGCAGCGGCAGGAGGAGGGGGAAGCGCGTGTTAAGGGGAGTGAATGTTTGTCGCAGTACATCGCGGGGGCGGATGCGAGAGCACGCCGTAAAGGAATGAAAGAGTACCCGTGCGCAGGAGCAGGGTTGGTGCATGGAGCCTGACGGACAGGCAAGGGGGAGACAAGAGAGAGAGACACACAGGAGGAGGGATGAGGAAGAGCGCTGCCAGCGAGATGTGTCCCCAAGGAAGGACTCGGGAAATGCCAAGGGAAGGGTAAGAGAATATCATGGGCGCCGAGGAGCAGGCGGACGAGGGAGGCGGTGTCAAGAAGATTCCCCTGAGGGTAAGGAAGGGAGGGAGAAGACGAAAAGGAGTGATGAGGAGCTGTGTGAAGCGAAGGAACATGAGTATAGTGAAGAGGAGGAATATGGGTATAATCTGGAGCGGCGCCGACGCAGGAAGCAGGAGAGGCGTGAGAAGGTGAATCACTCATCAGAGCAGCAGCGGGGGCGGGCGGAGGAGCAACAGGAAGTGCGCGAGGACGAGTTCTCACCTGATCCGCGTTGGCAGCGCGGAGGAGGGCGGAACGGAGGGTCGCGCTCGCCTGAGGTGCGTCAGCACCATGATGGGAGGCAGGGGGGCGGGTCGCGCTCGCCTGATCGGCATGGGCAACATGATAGACGACAGACTGGCGGGTCTGGCTCACCTGATCTGTGGCGGCACTACGCGGGAAGGGCAAGGGGTGAGACACGTTCGCCAGGTCTGCAGCGCAAGCAGGGAGGGAGATGGGAGGAGGAGTGGCATCTGCAAGACAGTCGCCGCGGGCACGGAGGGAGAAGGGACGAGAGATCCCCTTCGCCCGAGAGGCACTGGAAGCGAGGAACACATAGAGAAGGCTGGGCGAGGGCGCATTACTCGCCAGAGAGGCAGTCGGGGCGAGCAGGAGCACGGATGAGTGTGGAGGACATGCGAAGGGAGGTGGGACAGGACCAGCGCGGACGCGAAGGGGGAGGCGGCGGGCTGGCATACAGCACGGAGCGCGCCAGAGTGGCAAGGGAAAGAATCAAGAGGGCAAGGGAGAGGGAGTCATCAGGAAGGCAGGCGAGAGGTCTGAGTAAATCATGGGGAGACGGTCGGGGGAGCACGGCGATGTTTGAGCAAGTGGAAGTGCCGGCGCGATTCGCGGGAGATCAGCGCACAGGGCCCTCACTCAAGAACTACTTAATGCAAGTAGGGAATGTGAGATACAGGTGCGAGAGGAGTGGTATGGACTCGGTGGATTTTTTTCTGAGTCTGCCGAACACACTGGAAGGGGAGGCGGAAACGCTGTACAGAATGAAGATGGATGAGTTGCTAGAGAGGGCAGGAAGGTACGGGGAAGACCCCACGGAAGCATTTCTGAAGCAGTTACAGCGGCAGTTTCCAGGGCACACCGCGGAGAAGATAAGAGAATTTCAGAATTTCAGGAAGGGGTGGAGCGAGTCGTTGCTTACCTACTACAACCGGCTGATCAACCTGGCGGAGGATGTAACATGTGCAGACATGGGCCTTCTTGTTAGCAAGTTCCTGGATGGACTCGACAGCACCATGGGAAGCGGATTGCGGATGAGGGTGTACGAAATGGGGGCAGACACAACGCTGGATGAAGTCTTTGAGTTGGCAGAGAAAATAGAGTTTGCGCAGAGGAAGTTTGAAGCGTACCGGCCACAAACGACAGAGAGGAGCCGTGGGCCGATAAGGGCAGCAGCAATGGTATCTGAAGATCAGGGAAGGTCAGAGGAACGAGGGGATGGTAGGGCAGACAACAGGACCTGCTACAGATGCGGACAGTCGGGGCACGTTAGGAGAGATTGCAAGAACTGTGATCGCTGTGGGAAGCCAGGATACTTGAGGAGAGAGTGCCCAGATGCATCGTGGTGTGAAATTTCCAGCAAGAAGGGACGTGAAGCGAAGGACTGCTACCAGCGGGAGGGGACAGCAAAGGGGAACCCGGAAGAGCTGGAACATGAGCTCAGCAGGCTACAAGCACAGCTGCAGGCACTCAGACAAAGGCGGGAAGTAGAGGCAGGAACGAGCGCCAGGGATGAGGATGACAGGGAAGTAGAGCAGGAGGTGCAGCGCGCGTACGTGGCATGGAAGGGAAGGGAAGAGATGGGACTACGGAGTGGAGGGAAGGACGACCTCCAGGAGCACCGACAAAAGGGAGGAGAGAAGGGGCAGCAGGCAGAGGAGACGACACCAAGGGACGTTGTAGAAGAAGAAGAAGAAGAAGAAGAAGAAGAAGAAGAAGAAGAAGAAGAAGAAGAAGAAGAAGAAGAAGAAGAAGAAGAAGAAGAAGAAGAAGAAGAAGAAGAAGAAGAAGAAGAAGAAGAAGAAGAAGAAGAAGAAGAAGCTCCCGCCCCCACCTGCTCTTCCTTTTCCTCTGCCTTCGCTGCTGCTGTTACAGACGCTCCCGCCCCCACCTGCTCTTCCTTTTCCTCTGCCTTCGCTGCTGCTGTTACACACGCTCCCACCCCCGGCGCGACAGGACAGGAGCAAAACCACTGAAAACAGGACATGACAGGAACGGGGATCTGACATATTATGTATTCGCAGGCAAGGAAAATTACTGACATGAAGTCACCACTGCAGATGCGCAGCATGTACTTGCCGGGCTTGCCCGTGACGTAGTTGCCCGAGTCTGCCACACTCGTCGGTGAGAACAAGAGCAGAAAAGGGAGCCCGCGGCAGCGGGGAAGAGGGAGAGGAAGGGGGAGAACGGGCGCGGTAAGGCGGGGGGAAGGCAAGCGGCTAGGGGCTGCGAGTGAAGTGCTGCAGAGCATTGAACGGAAGTAGTGGGATTCGTCGAAAATGCACCAGGGTTGGTTGGAGCTGGTTTGGTGTGCTGGATGGCTCACCAGCGCTGCACTGCACCGCGCACGCGAGTTGCTCAAAGATTTGCAGGCACATGTCAGTACCAGTCGTGATGAAAGTACCCATCTCCACGCACGACACGAGGCTCTCGTGAGCGCACACACACACATACAAGCACAAAACAAGACTTCTTGGTTCCTTTTGCAGAGCAGGTGCGTGTAAACGAACGATGACCAAAATTGCATGCAGGCAGGCAGTGCTGCTTCGTTTAGATTGAAACGATTCCCGTATCATCGCGCGACCACTCACGCTAGCCGGGACGGATGAGACGCCGTCGATACCCTGCACACCCGCGGTGACCGTGGCGGTATCGGTAACGCCGAGCGCCTGAACGGCGAAGTTAAGGTCAGCGCAACCATTAGGGCAGCACGACAGGTGCGACGCTCCCACACTGAAACGTTGCTGGCAGGGAAGTAGCAGCCTTAGTAGGCCAGGAAAACGAGGATAGAGTGCTCTCTGGAGTTCTCTGGAAATTGCACTATGACTTCACAAATTTCACAGTACAATTTTATAGAGCACATTCAAATATCGAGTCGCACTCCCAAGTCGCGACTCTCTCTGAATTTCTCAATGGTAACCCAACCCCTTTGAAATGAACCTGCCGTGAAATTCAGAGAATTATTGCGGTACGGGATTGGACGGCGAGCTTGGTTACGGGGCTGTAATTCCGTCGGTGTTGTTGGCGAAGTCGGCGAGCGGTCGGAACTTCGGTGTTCTGCGTTTCGTAATTTTCGCGCGAGGGTTTGTGTTGGGCTGCGCGTCAGGACCTGGTCGCCCAGCTGCAGGTTGAGGCGTTTGACCAATACGAACAGTTGGTGAGGTGGCGCTTGACTTCCGCCCACCTGCACTGTACTTGGCAGCATTCGGCTGCCACACTGTTACATTACTTCCCCCTCCAAGTGGCGCCGTCCACGGCGCCAAACCGTGGCTGGTCAAATACTGATTCACAGGAGTTGCGGCACGGTCAAGGTGGCTCTCTGGTTCCCATGAGTCGTCACTAGTGGGCTGGTCCTTCCAATGAACAAGAAACTCGCGACCATGAGGTGTGTCGCGATGTGCAGTGATAGATGCAACCTCAAACAGGTCGGGGCTGCCTTCGAACATCGGTGGCAGTTGGCGTGTGGCTGGACGGTCGTGTGAAGGTGCACGGAAAGGGCGGAGGCGCTGGACATGGAAGACGGGGTGAATCTTCATATAGCTGGGCAGTTGGAGACGGTAGGTGACTGGTGAGAGGACTCGGGTGATGGTGAACGGGCCAATAAAGCGAGGGGCGAGTTTTCTGGTTGTGCCTTTGCGTAGGAGAGGTAGGTGGTTAGTGGAGAGTAACACTTGATCGCCAACCTTGAAGCGTATATATTTGCGGTGGGAGTTGGCATAGTGGGTCTGTTTGGCTTGAGCTTTAAGGATGGAGGTGCGAGCGGCATCAATGGCTGATTCGAGTGAGTTGAGGAACTCAAAGGCTGCTGGTGCGTGGGAGAGGTGGGGGGGTGGGGTCATGGGGAGGCGGGGGTGCTGTCCGGTTGCGAGGTAGAAGGGTGGCTGGCCGGTGGAAAGGTGGGGTGTGCTGTTGTATGCGAGTTCGATGGCAGTGAGGTGGAGATCCCAATCAGTTTGGCAAGCAGTAACTTGTGCACGGAGGGAGTCTTCAAGCGTGCGGTTCATCCGCTCGGTTTGTCCGTCCGTTTCAGGGTGATACGCGGTAGAAAACTTCAGCCGGGTTCCGTGAAGCTTGAAGAGGCTCTGCCAAAAGTTACTCAAGAAGCGGGGGTCACGGTCTGAAATGATGGCGGATGGGAGACCATGTAGGCGGACTATGTGATCGAAGAAGAGTCGGGCTGTTTCGGGTGCGGTGACGGTTGTGTGGGTAGGAATGAAGTGGCTCATTTTGGAGAGTCGGTCGACGACGACTAGGATAGCGTTGTAGCTGCAGGGTGTGCGGGGCAGATCCATGATGAAGTCCATGGTGACTTCATCCCACACTTTGGTAGGTGGAGGGATGGGCTGAAGGAGTCCGTAGCGGTTGGTGGTGCGTGCTTTGAGTTGTTGACAGGTGCGGCAGGTGCGTATCAGCATGCATGCGTGGCCAATGGTAGTCGTTGGAGAGGCGTGCGTAGGTCTTCTCAACACCAAAGTGGCTGCCGGTAACGGTGTCGTGGTATTCGGAGAGTAGCAGCTGTCGTAAGGAGCGATCTGCAGGGACACAAATGGTTTTGGTGACGGTGTTATACCAAAATGGGTCTTCGAATGAGTAGGCCAGGTCCTCGGGTGCTTGCTTGACAAAAAACAGGTCACGTTTGTAGGTGCGCTGAAATTTCGTGATGAAGGTATCATCCCAAGTGATGCTGCTGATTCCATGGAGTTGCAAGGGTGGGTTCGGAGTGTGAGGTGGAGGTGATGAGGTGGGGCTGGTTGGGGAGTGGTGGGGCTGGTTGGTGGTTGGTTTGGGCTGGTCGGTGGGTGGTGGGGCTGGTGGTGGTGGTGGTCGGGACAAGATGTCGGCTGGGTTGAGTTTTCCGAGGCGGTAGATAATCTGAAGTGAGGGTACGAACTGCTCCAAAAACTCAGCCCATTGGGCTTTGCGGCGGCTGAGCACAGGCTGTGTTTTCAAGTGTTGAAGAGGGCGGTGGTCGGTGTAGACGGTGACGGGCTGCAGCTCCACGTAACAGCGCCATGTCTTGATTGCGTGGACAATGGCAAGGAGCTCCCGATCGTGTGTTGCGTAGTTGCGCTCTGCCGGTTGAAGCTTGCGTGACTCGAAAGCGAGTGGCTGCATCCCATGGCCGTGGTCTTGACAAAGAATGGCACCGACAGCGACATCGGAAGCATCGGTCCATATGAAGTATGGGCGTGAAGGGTCGGCGACGGTGAGGACTGGTGCAGAGGTGAGTGCTGATTTGATTGAGTTGAAAGCAGTCTGCTGCGGTATTCCCCATTGAAAGGCAGCTCCTTGACGGAAGAGATCGGTCAAAGGGGCGCAGATGTGAGAGAAGTTGAAAATGAATTTCCGGTAATACTTGGCGAGGCCGATGAAACTTTGCAGCTCCGCTACCGTGCGTGGGGCTGGCCAATCAGCAAGGCACTGGACCTTTGCGGGGTCCATAGCAATGCCTTTGGAGCTGATGACATGGCCGAGAAAGCCGATGCTTGAACGGGCGAAGGTGCACTTGGAGAGCTTGGCGTAGAGGCGGTGTTGGCGAATCTTGTCGAGGACGATGCGTAGGTGCTGAGCGTGTTCCTCGAGTGAATTGCTGAAAATGAGGATGTCATCGAGGAACACGATGACAAAGCGGTCGAGGAAGGGCTGAAAAATGTCGTTCATGAGTCCCATGAGCGTGGCTGGTGCGTTGGTGAGGCCGAACGGAAGTACGCGGAACTCGAAGTGGCCGTAGCGGGTTCGAAACGCCGTCTTGTTGATGTCGTCTTCGGCGAGCCGGATCTGGTGGTAACCGGAGCATAGGTCGAGCTTGCTGAAAACTGTTGCTTCCCCAAGCATGTCGAACAACTCCTCGACACGGGGTAGCGGGTACTTATTCTTGATTGTGATGGCGTTGAGGGCGTGGTAGTCGATGCAAAGGCGCAGGTCACCTTCCTTCTTGCGGGTGAAAAGCACAGGGGCAGTATATGGTGAGGTGCTTGGGCGGATGAAACCCTTCTCGAGAAGGTCATCGAGTTGACGGCGGAGCTCCAAAAGTTCAGCGGTGCTCATGCGATAGGTTGGGCGCACGGGCGGTGTAGAACCTGGAATGAGGCGGATGCTATGGTCAATAGCACGCTCGGGTGGAAGTTCGGCGGGAAGATCTTCGGGGAAGATGTCGGTGTAGCCTTGGAGTAACTTCTGTATAGGTGATGGGAGAGAGTTGGGTGATGGTTCAAATTCGGGAGCGGTGAAGATGACTAGGAGATGATGAGGAGGAGGTGGTGATGGAGGGGTGGGGGCTGATGGATTGATAACTTCAGAGGCGGGGCGGATGATGGGACGTCGTGGCTGCTGGGTTGGGTGGGGTGGAGAAGGAGGAGGTGTGTTGATCACTTCGGGGGAGCCGGGTGGTGTTGGCTGCTGCACGGGAGCTATGCGAGGAGGAGGGAGAGGGGGGATATGGGAAGATGGAGATGGGACAGGTTGGGGTGGATGGGTTGATGAAGCGGAACTGGTTGGGGATGACCATGGTCGGCGAAAGGAGTGGGATGGGAGGTCGTAGTTGCCGACGGTGACAGTTCCGTTGCGCCAATAAATCCGCGGTCCAAACTGGTGCAACCATGGTTGACCGATAACGCCTTCATACCCGCCGAGGTGCAGTTGCTCGGACGTGACCGTCGCCTCCAAGCTTCCAAACATGCAATGCACAGGGAGGAGAGTAGGTCCGCAGCGCCGCCGAGTACCATCTGCCATGATCACGTCCTGCGGGTTGCTGTTGGGATCTTCGGGGAGAAAAAGTTCAGCAGCAATTGAGGGAGAGAGGAAATTTGCTGAAGCACCGGTATCGAGCAAAAAGTCAACGTAGCGATTCTTTATTTTTGCGTATAGAATGATGGCGGGGAATGGAGCGTTGGATGTGGTGTAGAGTTCAGAGGTGCCGATGAATAATGGAGTCGGGAGAAGCGGGGCATGCGATGCGTCAGAGGTCTGCCCCACTGCTACTGGCGCTGTCCGTTTCCCGGAGACCTTTCAAAGTTGCAGCGGTTCGGGCAATGCCGCCACGTAGGCGGCTCGCACCTACTTTCCCGCACGAGTAGCACGTAAGCGTGGACTGGTTGCGTGCACGCTGTTCCACCACACCGAGCTCCATGGGAGAAGGACCGTTGGTGTGGTAGGTAGGTCCAGCAGTGGTGTGCTGCCCGGTTCGTCCTTGGAATCGCTGGTATGCTGCAAAGTTGATGGTGTCAAAACGCTGGCGACACGAATCATCTC